AGTCCGGAGAGAGGGGGGAGACGCCAAGGGGTGTGGCGGGGGTGGCTCGGGACCGATTCCCTCTGCAAACCCAGTGCACACCTACGGGGGCGGCTGCAGTGGCCGTCCCAGCCCTCTACACACCGGCGCTGTCAGCCTTTTCTAGATCTACCCACTGCCTTTCTTCTAGAGCCAGGGCATCTCTCCAAAAAAAGCCTCGTCATCCGCAGCCCAGGGTCTCCACCAGTCACTGTGGGGCCGCAGCCACCTGAGCGACCCAGGTTCCCGCTGAGCCAGGAGCCTGCGGTGGATCCCTGGCTGCGTCCTCCCTGGCCAGGAGGTGGCGGTAAAGAGCTGGATCAGCAGCAGGAGGGGGCCAGTATAGCAAGGGTGGGGCGCAGTTCGCTGCCCCCTGGCTCCCCGAATTTCAGGCCCCTCCTTCAGGTCTGGGCTGCTCTGGGTGGACAGAAGCTCAGTGTCAGGTCTGGGGTTGTGCAGGGTCTCAAAGCCAAAGGGCGGTCCCGGTGTGGCCAGGAGGCTGGAGGACCCCTGGCTCTCACCCTTAGGGCACCCCAGCAGAACAGTACCATGAGACGCAACAGCAGATCCCAGCCATCAGGCATGTGCCTTTATTTGTAGGCCGAGGCAGGACACTCCTCACTGGCCAGCCCTCAGCTGGGGCTCCTGTGGGCGTGTGGGTTTTGGAAGGCCCAGGAGCTAGTAGCCCTTAGGGTATCCCTTAGGGTAGCTGTGCTTCGGGACCGACTGCAGCACCAGGCTGGGCAGAAAGACTTCCTAGGGAGAGGAGGAGGGCAGTTGCTCACTGCTGGGAACCTTGGGGGGACAGTGCTGCCCACACCCGAGGCTTCTGCTCCAGTCTAGTGGGTGGTGCTGCTGCAGACCCATTTTGCTTGCTTGTTTTTTGTTTTGAGACAGGGCCTCTCAGTGTAGCCCAGGCTGGTCTCGAACTCATGGTCATCCATCTGCCTCAGCCTCCGGAGTACTGAGATCACAATGTGCCAACACACCAGACTTGAGGGCAGCCAGGCCCCTGCCCTCGGGCAAGCAGCCTGAGAGGGAGTCCAGCCCCTGCAGTGCTGACTCTGAGGGAGATTGGCGCTGCGGCTCCACGGCCCAGCCCCTGCCTGCTGCACTCACTCACCAGCTTCTGGCTCCAGGAGCAGGATGACCTGCCCACCTGCTCCAGGAAGCTGCAGGTGTCCAGAAGGCCCTGCAGGTCCCTCCACGGCCGTGGGGCGCTGGCCCTGGGGACGAAGGGCACGCTGCCGTTTAGGGGGGTGCCCTTGTACAGGTAGCCCTGTGGCTCCTGGGCGGTCCTGGGGAGGCAGGAGTCGGTGAGCTTCGCACACCCTGGGTCCCATGCCTGGGGTCGGGGAGGCATGCAGGGCGCGGGACCGGGTTGGGCCCAGCATGAGGAGCTGGTCATGGCGTCCTCCTTGGCCCCGAGGTACGCAGCTCTGGGCAGACTGTCCAGCCACCTCCGGAGCCCCGGCTTGGACCCTGACTCTGCCAGCTGGGGGGCCATCCTGCTCTGCTGGACTGCGGGGAGAGAGCACCGGTGAGTCCACTTCTGCCCCCACCTCCACCCTCCCCTCCTCCCACAGGCTTGGCCAGCCATCTCCATGGCAACCGCAGGCTTCCCCAAGCCTCGGGCTGCCTCTAGACAAGGCTGGGTTTTGAAACTGCCCGCTCCTGCTCCAGCCCCAAATGGGCCCCTGTCTGGCAGCAGGAAGCCAAGTCACACACACACCCACGGTGGAGATCCCACAGATGACGCCTGTTCCAGGGCCCCCGGATGCCCTTTGGCCTGACCTGCCCGAATTCCCCGTGAATGGCTGGGGAAGGGGAGGGCTGGGTGGGCGCAGGCTGGGTCCCCTGTGCCCTGGGCATGGTCACAGCCAGTGACCCAGGGAAGAATCTCCCTGCTGCCACAGTGTGAAACTGTCTCTCCCGGGAGGCCCTGTCCTTGGGTTTGGCAAGTAGATGGGGTCACCCTGGCTTCTCTCTGTTCCTGGCATCCGGGGCACCTGCATAAGACCCCTCCACAGGGTGAGGATGTAGCTCAGTGGCACAGCACCTGCCTGGCCAGTAGGAGGCCCTGAGTTCGACTCCCGGTACAAAAAAACCCAAAAAACCAAGTCCCTTCTGCCTCGGTTTCCCTCTGGGGAAAAAAATGGGTTTGGGCAAAACCACAGATTCGATCTGTGAGTCTGGGGCTGGGGAGGGTCCCTCCGGAATCAGGGGAGGCCCACAGAGTTGGTGCTCAATGAATCGCTGCAGGGCATTAACTCTGGGAGGCAGGGGTGGTGGCTGGACACAGAGAAGGGGCAGGGAGGGGCTCAGCAATGATTATTCCAGGCCAGGGTCTGTAGATTCTCCTTGCATCCTTTTTTTCTTTTTTGTACCGGTGATTGAACTCAGGACTTTGCATTTTGGAGGCAGGCTCTTTTTTTTTTCTTTTGGTACCAGGAATCGAACTCAGGGCCTCACAATTGCCAGGCAGGCGCTGTACTGCTAAGCTACATCCCTGCTGTCTCCTTGCCTCCTGCAGCCCAGTTTGGGGAACTCTGCCAAAACTAACGCCCTTGAGTCTGTCCCAGAGGGCCTGGGCCTGGTGCGTCGGTCTGTGCAGACCCCCGGAGCCGACCACCCCGGGAGAGAGCAGTTTCCCTTCTCCAGCTTCCTGGGCACCTCCTCTGCCAGCCCCGGGGGTCGGGCACCAAGGAAACAGGCAGGAGAGGCTGGGCAGACACTGTAGCAGGACGACCTCCGGTGGAGGTCAGGCCCCAGCCTCCACCTTCACTGGCTGTGAGCCCTGCCCGGTCCTCCGAGGTCACGTGAGGGCCCCCAGCCACGTCCCCTGGGGCCAGCGGGCATCCCTGTGGGGGACACTGCCCTCCACAGCCCAGGTTTGGATTCTCTTGAGTCCTGGGGTGCCGGCCCGACGCCTACCTGCACAGCTGCGTTCCCAGTAGCGGAGCGCGCTGTCTGTGAGCGTCTCGTCGGCAAACCGCACCCGGAAGGGGCAGCTGCGCCTGTGGGGACCCAGGCCTTCCCCGGAGGGGGCGGGGGTGGGCACGGCCTCGGAGGCTGCTGTGTCGCAGAACCTGCGGAGGCTGGGTGGGGGTCGGCTTAGCCCACACTGGGTAGCACCAGTCACAACCTCCAGGCAGGAGGCACAGTCTCTGATAGGCACCTTCCCACCTAACCACACAACTACCTTTTGGGTGTTTTCCTTTGTTTGTCTGTTTGATCTAAGGCCACAGCAGCACCACTGAACTGAATCCTGGCCCCTTCCTTGTTTGCTTTTGAGAGGGGCTGGTCTTGATATGAGCCAGGCTGGCCTCTACCTCGTGGCGATCTTCCTGCCTCAGCCTCCTGAGTGCTGGGATTAGAGCCACCACACCCGGCTGTCATTCCCATTCTACAGATGAGGAAACCTAGGCACAGTGATTTCGGCAACATGATTAAGGTCACAAAGCTGGCAAGGCTGTTAAGGGCCGAGCCGGTCTGGACCTGCTCCCAGAGTCGGGTCTCTGACGTATCCAAAAGGTGAGCAGAGACAGCAAGAATTCGCACCCAGGACTCAGGCAGCTCTGACTAAGCTTGACTCTGAAGCCTTGGTAAAATGGGGACAACTATGGCGCCCCGTGCACAGGGCTGCAGAGAGATGAAAAGCAAAGGCGTCCTGCCCAGGGCAAACATCTTCCAGGGACGGCTGCGGGCCCAGGTGAAGGTGCATCCCGGCCATCCCAGGGCCCCGTGGTGTCGGGAACCTCACAGGGGCAGGTGCTCCAGCACTTCCTCTCGGGTAAGAGTCTGTAGTGCATCTGCCCCTGCTCGGCTGAGTCCTGCTTTTATACTGATTGTAGCCTGGGAAAGGACTGTGTTGCTGCGGCCTGACTGGCGGTTCCTGGGTTGGTAACGTGTCTCATCGGTGACCCACTAGTGGCATCGGCCTGAAGAGGTTTCTCAGACTCAGAGGAGCGATGGGCTGTGACCCATTAGTAATGTCTGCCCTGGGTACAGCATGAGGAGGAGTGGAATGTGTGCTACGTATCCATGGTCCCAGCCTTTAAACTCACCAACGGTGAGTGTTTTGCACCTTTGTCTAAGCCTCTTTAAACTGGAGGGATTGCTCCTGTTCCTGTCCCGCCTCCATTAGAGCTCTAGCATCTAATACCTGGACTGTTCTGTTAAGTTCATCTCTTACTTTATTTGACACATAACTAAAACCTAATGAAAGCTGGAAGAGGGAAGGCATGGGACATAAGTGAGTGGGGTGGTGGTCCCCTGGGCTGGGAGACAGATCAGTAACCGGGTCTGAGTAGAAGGACTGTGTCGTGGGCGGACGGCCGGGTGAGCAGTAGGATGGAGTCTGTGAGAAGATGAGCGACTGGCCGGACAGACGGAGGGACGGAGGGACGGGTGCTGTGCAGGGGAGGAGGGGTGAGGAGGGTGAAACGGACGAACGGACTCCTGAATCACGCATGTGTTCACAGAAGACCTGATTCATGGATGGACGGGTGATGGGCGAATGGATCAACACGGGTGGGTGAGAGACAGGGAAACTGAGGGAAGGGAAGAAAAGCCCTTGCCCACCACACCCCCCCAGAACTCACGGGCTGGCCTTCCTGACCCTGGGGAATGGCGAGTGGTCACCCCTCAGGGGTCCCAGGGAAGATTTCTGGTGGTGCAAAATCTTCTCCAGTCTCGCCTGGAAGTCGGACAACTGGTCCCTTGGAGACAAACAGGCCGCACGAACAGTCAGGGCCCACCTGGGAAGTATCCGAGCAAGGCAGGCCCACCGAGAAGGCCCCCACACCTACCGCAGGTCTGGGAGGAACTGGCAGCTGGGACACCACGGAGAACCCCGCCGGGGCTGGGACGGCCGGCTCTGACCTCCAGGCGCTGGGGGCGGTGCTGAGGGCGCTGGGGGGGATTTTTCTTCTCCATATTCCCTCTGTCCTACAATTCCCACTTTCCCTACACC